TCAATATGCAATCAGTGGAAGAGTTATTCAAGAGATACTGTTCTTGCTTTTGGGGTTTGAGTCTTCAAAATCCGTGTGTATCTTACACCTAGGGCACAGCTTGGTTGGCACACACCATACTGCAAACGCTTCCCTGCCAGAGTGGCCTGGGGCCACCAGATTGAACAGCACAGCCCTCGAGGCCTTGTCCTTGCTGGGGGTCAGGGGGGTCACTGGGCCCGGACTGCAAAGCCCTGCAGGACCGCAGATGCACCTGGCCTCGGAGTCACCCTCTGTCCCCACCGCCTCTGGCCTCTCAGACACCCCAACATGGGTGCCTTGGCCCCTCAGACTGTCCAGCAGCGAACAGCCCTTGCTGAGCGCCTGCCGTGCGCAACCCAGAAGACACTCCCCATCGACAGCTGTGCTGGGGTCCCGGGCCACTCATGTGAGCATGGATTAGGGGCAGTCCCTATGCCTGGTCATGTCTGAGGCCGGCACATGATGGGCAGGACTCAGTGTTCCCTGGCAGCTTGAGGGTGGGGCTGGGGGACCTGAGATCACGCAGCCACTGCCCCAGGCACAGGCCAGTGGTCCCGGAGGACTCGGTTCCAGCGGGGGCGGGGAAGTGCTTGGATGGAAACGACCCACAGAGGGAAGGCTCTCACCTGCTCAGAACCTCCCGTGCCTCCTGGGCCCTCCAGAGCTTCACTGGTGCTCCAGCCCTGCCCCCACCCTCCAGCCTCTCCTGTTGGCCCTGGAAGTTCTTGTCATTCCTGATAAATGCTCTCGGTTTTCTGGCCCCAGGGCCTCAGCCCATGCTGTTCTATCCACCTGGCGCCCTTCCCTTTGCTCACAGCCAGGCTGGCCTGGGCCACCTCCTCTGGGAAGTCCTTGCTAACAGCCCTGATTTGATCATGGCACCTGTTAGAAACCTGGGCGCGGTGGCTCACACCCATAATCCCAGCACTTTGGGAGGCCGAGGTGGGTGGATCACAAGGTCGAGAGATCGAGACCATCCTGGTCAACATGGTGAAACCCCGTCTCTACTAAAAATACAAAAAATTAGCTGGGCATGGTGGCGTGTGCCTGTAATCCCAGCTACTCAGGAGGCTGAGGCAGGAGAACTGCCTGAACCCAGGAGGCAGAGGTTCTGGTGAGCCGAGATCGCGCCATTGCACTCCAGCCTGGGGAACAAGAGCAAAACTCCGTCTCAAAAAAAAACCTGCCTTGCGTCTGGGCGCGGTGGCTCACACCCGTAATCCCAGCACTTTGGGAGGCCGAGGCGGGCAGATCACGAAGTCAAGAGATAGAAACCAGCCTGGCCAACACGGTGAAACCCCGTCTCTACTAAAAATACAAAAATTAGCTGGATGTGGAGGCATGCACCTGTAGTCCCAGCTACTCAGGAGGTCGAGGCAGGAGAATTGCTTGAACTGAGGAGGCGGAGGTTGCAGTGAGCCGAGATCGCGCCGCTGCACTCCAGTCTAGGTGAGACTCCATCTCAAAAAAAAAAAAAAAAAGAAAGAAAGAAACTCCCTGTCTTGCTGGGGGGCCTCAGGTTTCCAACAGACTTTCCTGGGACACGAGGTTCTCCTGACACTCACGCCATCCCTTTGTTCTTCTCCCCCCACCGTGGCAGAAGACTGCTCAACGGGGGACAGTCACCTCTAAGCTTACTTGCAGTCAGCAGAAGAGGTAAGTTAGGGGCGTGGGTGAGCCACAAGCCTCTCTCAACACGTGAGGCTCGGGAGGCCTGCAGGCATGAGGGAGACCCCAGCAGTGGAGGGGAGCCTGGTGGGAGCCTTGGCCCTCTGAGGGGAGCGGAGCGACTGGCACCCGGGGCCCAGGGCAGAGTGGCACAGGGTCATCAGAACATGTCTAACGGGTGGAGGCGAGCACATCACCCCCGACGCACACAAGCACCCACACCAGGTGATGGAAAAGCGACTGGAATTTGCACAGGGAGTTGATTCGCCCTTTCGCGGGTACCCTTTCAGCCCTCTAGATTTAGGCACAGCCCAAGGTCAAGGCCTGAAAGGGGCTGTCCCACCCACGCCCGCCAGTTCCCCTCTCAGAGCCAATCATTAATTGGCACCGCTTGAGTGGCTGTTCCCACGGGTGTCCTGGCAGCCTGCCAGCCTGTGGCCCAGCTCCCAGCCCGTGCCAGGGCACCCAGCTGGCCTTGCACACGGCTGGTGTCCCTGATCAGGCCCTCTTCCTGTTTGTGACTCCCCACAGCTGAGCCCTGGAAGGGGAACGGGGCCTGTGCTTGGGGAGGAGGAGCCAGATACACCTGAAGCTCTGGTTTTCAGAAGGGACGCGGGGAACCAGGGTGAGCATGGGAGGCAGCCACTCACACTCCAGGCTAAGAAGTTAACATTATCCTGAGGCCATAGGGAGCTAGTGAAGGTTGTGCAGGAAGAGCTTCTGTTCAACTCAGCAACCGGGGCTGGTGTGGGCAGGAGGCAGTGACAGCTGCCAGGGGACGGCCAGAGAGGCAGGCCCTGCCGCGGCCATGGGGCAGAGGCCTGGGGTGTGCGGGGCAATGACACCAGGTTTCTGCTGAGACAACTGGCCTGGGGTGCTGGGGACGGGAGAGTCAAGTAACAGGGTGCTGAGTGTGCCAGGCCAGAGGTTTGCACAGGTCGAGGGCATGGAGGCTGCGGGCAGGAGTGAGGCCGTAGCTGAGAGGCCAGAGAGGCCAGACACCCACACCGCCAAGGAGGCCACGGGGCCGAGGTGCACCTGGAGGAGCCGGCACTGCCCAGCTGGGACCTGGCAGAGAAGGGGCAGCCAGAGGGATGGGAGGAAGCACGGGCTACAAGCCGGGGCCCAGAAGCCAGGGAAGATGGGGGACAGTCGGCACCAGGAAGGTCACGAGGGCCCAGGCCAAGAGCAGGGGAGCGATGAGGGGCGTGGGATGAGGGTGGGGGGTGTGGGTTTGCCTCCAAGACGCTCAGGAATGTAAGGGGGTGTCTTAGGCAGGCTCCATAGCAGCAGAGCCTGAGACGGGAGGTAGCGCTCCCAGGATCGAGGGACAGAACAGGACACACAGCTAAGTAGGACACCAGTCACATGGCCGCAGCCTGATCCCAGGCGAGCTCGGGGACCCCACAGAGACACCCAGGGTGGCCCCCATGTCCCTCATGTCGTGTCTCATGCTCCCAAATAAAGTCCAAGCTCCCAGCCCTCGGTGGAGGCGCAGGTGAGGCGGCGAGGATTAGCAGGAGCGGCCGGGGACACCTGACCTCAGTTCCACCATGACTCCCCTGGGGGCTCAGCCGGGAGGCAGGCACTCACAGCTGCCTCTGAGCCCGAGAGCTCAGTGAGGAGGGGCCGGGCAGGCAGATGGGCCCTGGCACGAGTGAGCACCCATGCCAATACCCTCCCCACCGGCTGGATGGGCAGCCCCGCCTGCCACAGCTGGCACCTGCAGGGAGCGAGCTGCACTTGGGTGGTGGGGCCCCAGGGAATGGGTGGTGCCACCCTCCTCGCTGTGCCAGGCGCCACCCACGGGCTGCTCACCACAAAGGGGCCCCCGGGGGCTTTCCCCTGTGCCACCCCCAGCCCCACGCCAGCGTTCCAAGCCCTGCAGAACCTAGCTCTGGCCCGTGTCCCAACAGCTGCGGCTCTGCTCAGCTCCGGGATCCGAAGGACAAGCTATGCCCATGGGCTGGGCACCCTGCAAGCCTGGCACTGTGCCTGACTCAGTCCCCTCCTCTGCCCCTCACCACAGCCTGGGGGCCAGGGCATATCACCAGCCCCGCTCTCATGCACACAACACAGTTTATTGAGCACGCAGGAGAGCTTCAGGGACCCAGGCGAGGGCCTGCTGGCTCAGAGCTCACGTCACCTGTGGGAGAGCTGAGGTCCTGAGCAACCCCGAGTGACGAGCTCAAGGTCACACAGCTGGATTCGAACCCAGGTCAGCCTCCAAAGATCACTTTCTCTCTTTATGAGGCAGAGTCTTGCTCTGTCACCCACGCTGGAGTGCAGTGGCGCCATCTCGGCTCACTGCCACCTCCCTCTGCCTCCCAGGTTCAAGCAGTTCTCCTGCCTCAGCTTCCCAAGTAGCTGGGATTACAGGTGCCCAGCACCATGCCCAGCTAATTTTTTGTATTTTTAATAGAGGTGATATTTCACCATGTTGGCCAGGCTGGTCTTGAACTCCTGACCTGACAGGTGATCCAACTGCCTCGGCCTCCCAAAGTGCTGGGATTACAGGTATGAGCCACCGCCCCTGGCCCTAAAATCACTTTTTCAAGCCCCTCTCTGAGTCTCAGTCTCCTCGTCTATAAAATGGGCATGATGAAGCCTTACCCCCAAGGCTGTGAGGACAGGGAGGGGTTGTGGCCTCAGGCACTGTGCACAGTCAGCAGGGATCTTGCCAGCCCACCTGGCAGGTTTTGGTGGTTGCCTGGTGTCCATTAAACCAGAGGCCCACCCCCTCCACAGCCCAGACTCCTTGTGCGCATCCCCGCCCACCTGCCCTGCCCTCCGACCTTGGATTCCGCGTGCTGTGTGTGCCGTGCATGCGGAAGCACCCTGCGCAGCTCACCTGGCGCTCTCTACCTGGAAGCCCCTCCACTCTTGGAATCCACAGCATGCATCCCACCGTTCCTGGGCCCTGACTACCTACCCCATGCAGGAAGCGTCACTATTCCCTACTCTCCAGATACAAGAACAGAGATGTCGCCAGAAGAGTCAAAGTGCCTCTCTCTACACAGCTTCTAGACAGCGGCAGAGTGGGCCCCAACCACTGCATGCCACCACCAGCACTACCACACCACCAGCCTGCGGGCCCACATCTACATCACGACAATGTCCCCCAGCCCCGAGCAAGGACCCTCATCTGCACACACAGCCTGGCTCCCATCGAGGCCTCCCCTGTCCCAGACACGGCGGTGCCCCATAGGGAAGCCAAAGAAGTTGCCAGCGGGAGGCTGGCATCAGTGGGCGGCCTGGCCCCCTGCCCTGGCCGTGATGGCTGGGCCCCTTGAGCCCAGAGGCGCCCTTACCTACTCGGAGCTCTTGCCCGAAGACGGTCTTCTCGCCAAGGGCAGAGCAGTTCCAGCGTCCGAAGCGGAACTGGTACTGGCACTCATTGATGCCCATCTGCGCCCCCTCCCCGATCACAATGATGGCATCGGGTCGGCTCTGGCAGATGGCACGCTGCCGCGGGGCGAGGCCAGGAATCTTGTTGCAGATGATGTTGGCTCCCAGGGCCACCACGGATGACAGTGCTCTGTGGAAGGGAAGAGGCAGAGGCCGTGAGGTGGTGGTGGCCCGCACCCCTCCTCGAACCCTCTCCTTTCCCAAGCCCTGCACGAGCCCCGCCCGCCAGCTCCCGAGCAGATCCCTACCCTCAGGGGCCATTTCCCATCAGCTCACCCGAGGGACCCCCGGCGACCACACATGTCACCCCAACTCACACAGGACCCCAGGCGACCACACATGTCACCCCAACTCACACGTGGGACCCCAGCCACACACGGCCCAGGCCTCCGAGCCTCAGAATGTGAGAATCACGCAATCACAAGTCCCGTGGCTCTCCAGGCGGCTGAATCAGATAGGCAGGCCCCTTCCGATTAGAGAGAACCGTGCTTGGGATGTGGCAGCCACCAACTTGGGACTGTCTGCGGCTGCCTCCAAGCAGCAGACCCCAACTCCAAGACCACCGGGGTTTCCCCCCCATTTATAGATACCCTGATGGCCCCTCCATGGCAAATGGGCCAGGCAGGCCCCTGAGCAGGTGGGCAGCCAAGCCCACCCAGTACCAACTCCAGCTCCGGCCTACCTTGAGAGCCTCAGTTTCCACACCATCCCCCCCACCAACCCACAGGCTCAGACGGCCCCAGGGAGAAAGGCTGCACCGTGAATTCTCTCCTGTCGGGGTGACTGGGTGCTCGCAGAGGAAGAAATCAGGCCTGCAAAAAATTGAGCACCTACTGTGTGCCGGGCTGGGCAGAGGTCTTATTGCAATACTGCAGCCTCGCAGTAGTCCCCTTAGGAGGCCTTTGTCACTAATCTCCTGGCAGCTCTCAGGACCTGAAGCTCTAGACAGGAAGCCACAGGCCACATTCACTCTGCTTGAAGTGTTATCAGTGGGATTGTTTTTTGTTTGTTTTTTGTTGTTTTGAGACAGTCTCGGAGACTCGCTTTGTCGCCCAGGCTGGAGTACAGTGGTGTGATCTCCGCTCCCTGCAACCCCCACATCCCGGATTCACGACATCCTCTTGCCTCAGCCTCCCCAGTAGCTGGACTACACCCGGCTAATTTTTGTATTTTTAGTAGAGACAGAGTTTCAACCATGTTGGCCAGGCTGGTCTCAAACTCCTGCCCTCAGAGGATCCGCCCGCCTTGGCCTCCCGAAGTGCTGGGATTACAGGTGTGAGCCATTGTGCCCAGCTTTATGTGTTTATTTAATGAGGTGAAATTCCCATAACATGAAATGGACCATTTTGAAGTGTAGGGTTCTGTGGCATTTAATACATTCGGTGTTGTGCAACCACCACCACCATCAGGTTCCCAGATATTTCCGCCACCCCAAGAGGAAACTGTACCCCTCATTCCCTCCCCATGCTCCCCTCCCCAACCCCGGCAACCACCAGTCTGCTTTCTGTTCCCATGGATTTTCCTATCGATGGAATCATTCGTTCTGTGACCTTTGGGGTCCGGCTCCTTTCACTTAGTGTCATGTTTTAAAGGGTCATCCACGTGGTAACATGTCAGTGCTTTATTTCTCTGTGAGGTTGAGTGATAGTCCACTGCGTGGCTAGACCACGTTTTGTGTTTTGTGTATCCATTCGTGGCCGGTGGACATGTGGGCTATTTCCGCCTCTGGACTACTGTGAGTCATGCTGCCATGAACATGCGGGTGCAGGTTTTTGTTTGAGCCTCTGTTTTCAGCCTCTGGGGCCTGGACCTAGGAGTTGCTGGGTCGGGTGGTCCCTTTCCTTTTGAGGACTTGCCGGACCGCCCTCCACCAGTCATCTGGCTTTACGCACCCACAAAGGGACAGTGAGCTGGAAGGAGGCGGGCGGCTGGTTTCAGGCTGACCTGCAGGCAACAGTTGGGTTTCAGCACAGCGCTGGGCTTCAAAACAACAGATCAGGCCTGTTTAGTGAGGGAGCAAGATGTGAGAGTTGGGGGGACCACCGAGGGCTCCCCGAAGCTGATGCCCATGGTCCTGGGCGCCTAGTGTGCCAGGGACCCTTCTTCTACCTACTGCCCGCTTGCCCTTTTCTTGAAAGAAACAAGTCAGTGATTTTCCAGGGCAGCGACACCCACAGCCAGCTGGAAAGTCCCCGGGTGGACTGAGCACGTGCTGCAGCGGGCGACACTCAATCCCTGAGACCCGCCCGGCCTGCCTACTAATCTGGCCAAGGCCTCCCTGGGTCTCCCACGGGCACAATGGGCAGAAAAGCCCCAGGCTGGCATTGAGGAAGAGCATCTGGCTGGGTGGGGCTGTGATCGGGTTGGAATCCGGGGAATTCAACCCAAAGTAATTGTAGATCCTCGGAAAACCGAGCTGGGGAAATGAGACAGATGGGAACCCTGCCAGGTGCCCGGCGTGGCGTGGGGTACAGCCTGCCTCAGTCCTGGCCTGAGGGATACTCTCCAGGCCCAAATTCTCCCAGCAGGCTCAGGGCCAAGAAGCCCCCATTACCTGGAGTAGGTGGCCTTGCTGGGGGGACCCTGATGGGACTTAGTGTGGACCCCGGGGGGCAGCAACGGATCATCGCGATGGCCAAAGCCCTGGCCTCCCGCCTCCAGGCAGCTGTCCACCACTGGCCCTGCCGGCACCCAGATCTGACCATCAATCCTCTGCTCAAAGCTTGTCCGTAGCTCCCCATTGCCCAGGGGACTATCCAAGCCCCTGTGCCTGGAACCAGAGGCCTCTTGGGATCTGGCCTCGGATGACCCCACCTCCCGGCTGTGTCTGCTGGGCCCTCTCCTGGGTGCTGTTTTTCTGTCTGACATATTCCATTTCCCTTTCAGGACTCCAGTGAAAGTCCCCTGGGCTCAAACTCCCTATTCCCTGGCACCGAGGAGCACGGTGGGCGCTGGTTTTGCTGGGTAGACTCATCCTGCGCTCTCACAGTCACTGTTCTGTGCCCGGCTTCCCCCTCAGGTGGTGACCCCTCCAGGACAGTGTCGAGTCTATGCTCGGGACTCAGGGCAGCCTGGTGTGGTCATCCTGAGTGTTTGTGGAATAGATCAATGAATACATGAACAAGTCGGCATGTAAGAACCGCAGGTGAAAGAACTCAACTCAAGGAAAAGACATAGAGCCCGGTAACAAGCAAAGGGCTCTAGACACTTCTCGGAAGAAGCTCTTGAAAAGATGCTCAACCTCCGGAATCACTGGGGAAGTCCGAACCAAAACCGAAATGAGATACCGCCTCACACCCACCAGGAGGGCGAGGATGTCAGAAAAGAAGGAGTGTCACCCAGGGTGCGGAGAAACAGAAACCCTCATGCGCCGATGATAGGGGCAGAAAACGGTGCAGCCACGGGGCCCCCCAGGTTGGCAGTTCCTCGGCAAGTTAAACCTGGCGTTACCCGACGATTCCACCCCTTGGTACAGATCCACAGGAACGGAAGACAGCTGCTTAGACTAAAACGTGTACACAAATGTTCACAGCAGCACTACTCACAACAGCCAAAGGGTGAAACAGGCTCAAATGTCCAACAGCTGAGTGTCTAAAGCACGCGTGGCCCATCTATACAATGGAATATTACGTGGGCACAAAAAGGAACGAAGCAGTGAGTTATGCTGCGGTGTGAGGAACTTCAACAGCATGGTGTGAAGTGAAGGAAGCTGGACCCCAAAACCACATACTGTGTGGAGAGGAAATTTCCAGACCAGGCAAATCCATGGAGACAGAAAGCAGAAAGGTGATTGCCAGGGCTGGGAGTGGAGCGGGGAGTGGCTGATCATGGGTGTGGAATTTCCATCTGGGGTGATGGAAAGTTCTGGAACTGGGGTCGTGGTTGCATCATGTTGTGAATGGACGAAATGCCACTGAATCGTTGCCTTTAAAATAAGGTGGTAAATTGTATTTTATGTATTTTAACCACGATTTCAAAAAACTCTATCTACACACAGGACTCACGCACTCAGTGAAGATTAGGACCCAGCTGAAGGGGATGCTGGAGGCCCACCCCGAAACGCCCTGCTCGCTGTCCTGCACACTTACCCAGGTGTGTGGCTGACGGGGCGGGAACTAGAGCCCCCAGCAGCCCCCTGCGTGCCCGTGCACAGGTTAAAGAGGAAGGAAGGCATCAGGGAATAAAATATAGGCTCCTGCACTGTATTTTCTGCCAGGAGTATAAATAATCAGATGTGGTCGGTAATTCAGAAATAATTTCAAAAGTGTCTCCCTTACTCAGCGGGGCTGTTTGGTTTCCACTAATGATACCAAATGCTCCCATTCTGAGGGTCGCCGCCGCGCCACCTCACCTGTGTATCATTTACCCCTCACCTTGTTAGGCGAGTGATGCCGTCCCCATTCTGCAGGTGTGCACGCTGGAGCTCCCAGAGGCCAGGGAACCTGCCGGGGCTGCACAGCCAGGCTCAGAGCCCCGACTCTGAGTCCAGAACTCAGGCAGAAGGAGGAGTGCCACATGGTAAGTGTGCAACGCATGCTAGAACAGGGCCTGGGGTGGGCACTGTATTGGCTTTTTATTCTCAAAACAGCTTAAGTTCTTCCTCTGCCTAAAAGCCTTCAGGCCACGCATCCACTGACTCCAGGTGCACAGGCGGCTCCCGGGCAGCTGCAGTCCCTGCCCTCCCACTGCTGCCCCGGGCACTCTCTGCTCTGACCCCTGCCCTCCCTGAGCCAGCCTGGCCCATGCCATTCCTTCTACCTGGAGGGGAGGGGGCTGGAGATGGGAGTGATGGGGACTGGCCTTCCTTAGGGAACGGTGGGTGTGGGAAGTGGGGTAAAAATATCTCCCAGCTAAATAGCGACTTGGAGGAGGCCAGAGAGCCACACAGGCAGCGTGCTGGGGCCACGGGGGGCGCGGGCCGGCATGGGCGCCCTCAGCAAGGCCCGTGGTGGACTCAGCTTCACTCCAGGTGTGCTAACGCGCAGTGCCGTTAGCCCAGTCCTCCGCTGTTTGCCTGGGTGCCCGGGGAGGTTGGCTAGGGAGGCTCTGAGTGACAGTGAGTGCAGAGATTCTGGGAGGGGGGCGTTCACGTTTCGGTCGCTGACCTTTTCCATGGAAAATTCTGCCCCC